TTCCCTGCCAAACAGTGTTCTCATTACAGTTGTGTAATCCCATTTTTTAAAGGTATGCCCTTGGTGACATCTGTGCAAGCTGAGCTCAGGTTGCATAAGTAACCAACTGTCTCTCTTAAGTGGATGCTAATAAACAAGTCTGCACAAGTAACTATAATCCAGTTTGTGTATGCTCCCCCTCACTTATTTAGCTGAGCTGGTCAAATAGTAAGTGTGCAAAATATTCACGCATGAATCATCACAAAAGTTAACTGGCTTTCCTTTCAAATCCTACAGAAATGTTGAACAAGACTGTCCTGTCACTTTTCAGAATTAAATCATGCCTGGAAGTAGAATTGTCCAGTATATACTGAGAGTGACATTGCTTGCTTTTATAGTGCTTTTACATTTGCTCAGCCTAGAAACAGTTGAAGACACATTCTTTCACTTGCATCATCTAAAGCTTTGTTTACTCTGTTTCAATTGGTTTGACCTTTGCTAATACAATTCGAGAAGTCTCACAGAGTTGCATAGGTGTAATTTAGGATGTCCGTTAGCAATCATGATTATTTGCAAGATCATCTTAATAACTCCTGAAAAGTCAAAACCTCAGAAATTGCAAATAATCTTTTCTTGTTCATGAATCAAATACAGAATTCTACAACAATAAAGTTTATTTTAGATCAAAACACGTTACATACAGAAACATGAATATTTGCTTTTTACTGCTAGCTCACAAAGGTTGAGCTGCCATAATCCCCAGAAGATTCAACATGAAGTACACAAAGAGAAATTTGTTACAAAAATCTAAGTAATCAAGTATGTTCAAGCTCTAAAATGCATTGTACATTTAAAAGAATACTATCAATTTAATTTAGTTTAATTAATTTGTTTTAAGTATTTTCATATTATATATTCACTTTTTACTTTGGCCAGTTTGAATGTTACAACCAGACATCTGGAGTCTCCTGGTAGCTTCATTCTCTAGTTGAAGAGAAGATCTGCATATTGCCATAAGAAAGACTAAAGAGGGATATGCTGTATTAAAATTCTATATAAAGTAAATTATTAAATTAAAAACAAAATTCATCAGGTTAAGCTTTACGGGCAAGTAGAACATGGTTTAAACTGTATTTATTTTAAATTAATCATTATGAACATTTCTGTGAACTTTTCACATTTTTCTTCTCCCTTATTGATACCTAGTGTTTGAATTCTGTTAACACTGCATTTCTCTAAAATGTTCAGAATAGAGACTCACCTTTAAAAAAAAAACACACAAAAAAACCCCAACAAACACTTGTACAGCATGATAGACCTAAAATTTCAAGCATTTGAGGTATTATCTGCTCTAACATGACCTGGTAAAGCCGGTTTTGCCCTAGATCTTAGGTGCATGTACCTTACAGAAAAATATTACTTAATTCCCAGCTTTCTGATTTTCAATTCAGAAAATAGTATTATTAAACCCAATCTGCTTAAGTGGAATGGGCTGTTTCTCTCAGGAGTGCTGAGCATCCATAGCTGCCATTGCCAGTGACTGCTCAGGCGCTGTAAAATAACTGGACCAGAAGTGATGGTGATTAAGCCTACAAAGAAGGTAGTAGTAAAATCAACTAACATTTACAAAATCCTTCTTGGGGATATATAGCACATAAAGAATAGATCATGGCTTCACACTGAGTTTTCCAGAAGGACCTTAGCATAGGAATTTATCAATATTTCTATATTTATAGAACAGAACATAAGGACATTTAGCATTACATGTGTCAGGTCTGGAAGGATGATGATACTTGGATCTCTAGTTGTTATTACAATGGAATAATAAAGTTCTATAAGAAAATTAAATATATTGCTATGTCTTACATAAACACTTTCAAAGTAAAACTTTAATTTTTAAATTATTTTTTTCCAGAATATAGTTTCACTTTTTCTTTACAAATAAGAAGGTTTCTCACAAACTCCTAGTCCAAAAACCTTGTTAAGATATTTCATAATTTATCTACATCTACCTGGGATTGATTGAAATAACACATCTTCCCCTTAATTCTTACTAACAAGCTGATATTGGGACACTGTTCAGAGCACTCCAGTGCTTAAAATTTTGCTATATTAACAATAATACTAATCCATAGCAATTAAGAAAAAGAATCTTCCTATAAACACACTCTAAACATAAACCAAATTATTCTAGTGCTTATTTCTGAAAGACTTTAAAAAAAGGCAAATGCAAAACCAAACCAACCAACCAACCAGAAAATTACTAAAACAGTGAAAATAAAAATCTAGAAAGTGGGGAGCATTCTGTTTTCAAGTGTTTGGTCAATTACCTAACCTGTGTTAAAACAGAAGTTTTCTACAAAAGATTGCATTTACCTGGATGTCTAGATTTTGGGGAAAACATTGGAATACAAATTTTTCAGTTAGCTCTTCCCAAAGCTATTCAACAGTCAGTCTAACCTTTTCCCTGCTGAGGATGCAATGGATCTGAACCAAAACAACTCATGCAATTCTGCTGCTGGATAGCACCAATCCCCATCAAAATGCATATGTATAGACATAATTCCTACTGTGCCCTACAGATTTTTGCAGTGCTAAAATAAATCAGGTAAAGGGAAAAACTAAATCTCACTGATTCTGCGGCTACCTAGCAATATCAGAAATTTTCTAGTCTACATTAACCCCTACAAGAACAGCTGAGAAATGTGCATATCCCCACACCAAGCAGACAAAGATTTTGAATGCTTGTTTTATCTCCACTACATGGTAAACATTATCTATATGCAAAAACCTTACATAGAAAGCCTGATAATAGTACCCCAATGAATTCTACGAAAGATTTAAATAAAGAATTTCCTGATTATGTTCAGCATACAGTCTGCATGCATTCTGCTTTATAACTATTTCAAATATTTTCTTTAAAGTCTTAAATTGTTTCCCTTCATTTAAAGTTAAGTCATGCAACCGTTTACTTATTGCTTTGAATGTGACTGAAAAGCAACATTACTTTGAATAATGCCAAGTACTTCAACAGAACTGGTACTGCGTACTTTTAGAGATCTTTTGACTGTGCCACAGAATTACTGCTTCTTTTGCTCTATTTACTTTTCCTGTAACTAAAAATATATTCTACTAGTCTAGTAATTTAATTTTAAACTGCCCAGTCTCTGTTTATCTAACTTTTATACTTAACTTAGGATGTAAACTATCTGATTGTTATAGTTCCCCAGACCTTATATTTTGTAGATACATTCTGAGTTCTTATAATTTCAGAGTTAAAAAACTGGTGCAGAGAAGATCACATACAAAAGATCATCCAAGGAAGGCAATGCATCTTTTTTGCTTCTTTTCCTCTTGAAATTTTAAAACACATATAAATGCTGGAATTGAAAACATTAATATGTGTCTGTGTATCTGATGACATAAATGTACCTTTAGCAGAAATTAAACTCTTAAGAAAAGGTCGGGGAGGACAGGACTAAAAGGGCCTGCAGAAGCTCCTATAAGCACATCCAATAACTGTTTTGAAAAGCAAAACAAAAAATCAAGGAAAACTTGTTCCCTACATTACAAAAGCAGTTTGCACTTATTTTACCATATAGGCACACAAAGCTGATTTTCCACTTGTCACAAGTGAGTACTGTAACACTCCTTTTTGTGGGGAGGGGGTAACAAGCAATTACTAACAACACTGAGAATCTCCAAAAGAGAGAGAGCTGGGGAAAAAAATTATGTTCAATTGTGCCAAATGAATTGCTGAGTGATGGTATCTGACCTGAGGAGAGATAAACAACTGGAAAGTAAGAGCACAAAATGTAGAGAGAAATAAGTCAATGGATGTGGTTAGAACTTCTTAAAATGCTCCTAAACCAATCAGTCTCCATTAGTAAACCAATCTAGCATTTAAACTAATAGATGGAAGTTATTCTTTCCAAAAAGGGAGGGTGGCAGGGGTGAGAGGGAGAGAGAGAATAGGGAGGCTACATTACAGAAAATATATGGAATGACGTTAGGGATTAAGTTACACTATAATCTTACATGTGTGCCATCAGTTTTACATTCTTAACCAGAAGGTGCAATACTCACTAAACAAAAGATTCATGGGAAGATTAGAAATGTAAAAAGTGGGATAAAACAACCCAAAGATATTCAGAACGGCCCAAATAGCAAACATTGCAGAAAAAACACATTTTTTCTCTCATAGAAGCTGTTACAGTGACAAAATCTCTTTACAACTGTATACAATTTATTGCAGGAAGTTGACATTGTTGAAAGTATTCCATATAACTGACATACAGATTCATCCTAGATATACTTTCTTAAGTGACAATCACTCCAGAAAAAACTAAGATTTCACCCATGGATTGCCTCAACTGAGCAAAACAGTTTTAGAGAGAGATTTTCAGAGAAAAGGGAAAGGAGAGAGTAAAGCAGCAAGTTCAATTACATATGGCAAGGGATCTATACTAACCTACTGTATAAGAAGACAAGAGTGAAGAGAAAAAATATTCAAAGGCACATCCAGTGATACCTCCTTTATTCATTTACTTATTTTAAGCAGAAATTGATTATTATTAGAGCAAGTTTTATAGTAGCTTCACTAATAATTTGATCAAGGAGTATTCATAAATTATTGTATATTTTGTAACTGCAGTCATTTCATAGCAAAAGTTCAAACATAACTTTCATTTTCTGGCTTCTAAATGAAGGTTTATAATGAAACTACATATAACCTGACCATTTAGTTACTCATTAATGTGTCTGAACTCAGAATTGCTACTGTGACATCCTGTACCACTGCCTGTTCTAACTGTGCACTGCTTTTCAGCCAAGTAAACAACTGTTCTTTCAAGTGACAAAAATGCATGTCTGCTCTAAAGGAGACATTTCGCTGTATCATTACAGAAAAATGTTAAATCTGTGATATTAAAAGACTAATGGTATAAAAATATCAACACTTCATCATAGAAAAATGTACATATGATTGAAAAAAAAAAATTGCTCTTTATATACATTAACAGAGAATCATCCCCTGCAGACCTGAGACATCCCACATTTCAGAAGATTCTATGCAAACCCTCTACTCAAGAGTGAACAAAAGACTACTCCCACTAGCTGGGCCAAATGAAAATGACCCAAGCTGTTTTTAATGAAGATTCTCCAAAAAGCCCAGACAATCAGTAAGTGAGCCCTTCTGCAAGAATAAACATCAAATAAAAATGAAGATTTTAAACTGGTAATTTTTGTTGGTGTTTTCTACAGATGGTCCATGAGAAACTTTCTACTTCATCTCCCTCCAGTGAGATCATCTTTAACTACAGAAATCAATGTGATGTTAAAAATAAGCATCGCGAGGCTATGCTGTATGATGAGCTGAGGAAAAAGATAGAGACAGTGTAGGGTTTCTCACATGGAAAATTATAAAGTACTGATGAAACACAATAAAGTTGTTTTACATTTACTTTAATAGATTTAATTCACTTGCATGTCCCTTTTTCTTTACTTTATGTACATCCACTTGGGCTTATTTTAGTAAGACATTTGAACTCTGTCAAGGACTCTGGTGCATGGGTTTGAGTCTTATCTTGTCATTTTAACAGTGCTTCTTCATTCCCGTGCGATTTCTAACATACAAAATGCCATCTCCTCTAATCATCTCTACACTCTTAGAGGCACTCTGCACTTAATGACAGAGGTGTTGAAAAGCAAACTACTACAGATCTGATCCCAAGTGTATCTCATAGCAGAATCTCAGCAAGTTTCACGACTGTTAGTTGGGGGTTTTTTGTATAAATTGGAATATATGTAACGGTATAGTTATTTCTTTCTTTTCTGTATATTATCCTTAGGGACTGTGACGGTTGCATATATTCCAGTTTTGACAGTACAGAAGTCGTGTTTGGGCCAGTAGAAGATAAGCCGCAAATGTTTGCATTGGATTTTTACCCATGACCCCTGCCGGGCACCCACCCACGTAAGCCTTGCGAAGCGCCGGTGTGCCGTGTGTGCCCTGCGGGCAATGGGCACGCAGCGGCACGGCCCGCGGTGA